GCTGTCCAAAAAGACGACTCGCTGGTGCCTGTTCGAAACCTGTGTTTGACTCGCTGCCGTCTGATCGTCCATGTAAAGATTTTAGTGATATTGCAGGGTATAGAGAAGGCAGTCTTACTCGTCCATTAGGCACATTTGATGCTCTTGTCCGCGAAGTGTTCCCCTGAGCTCTCGCAACGGCTGCGCTAGATATTACAGGCGCGAACTTGACCATCCTACCAGTCAGTCAGTGTTTCATTACTTCAAGTTCATAACTGAGAATTTTCACTCAAGTAAGAGTAGGTCTCCCAGACAAGTTGACAAACGGAAAAAACATAAGTCATGAAGCAGCCTCGAAAACTCTTTAAAGTTGTTCCTCCAATTGATTCCTTCATAAACATCACGACCCGCGCGCCATGCATACAGTGCTAAACAATCATTTGCTGCGTAAAATTCACAGTAACCCAACTAATTCATGTTCAATTATTAAAGCCTTAAGTTCAGCAGGCAAAGCTTGAGAGGAACCGATGGACGTGGAGCGCTGTACGGAAGTCCTCGTTGAAAGATTCCGTTTCATGCAGTTATCACAAGGTCGATGTTGTGATGTAAAATCGTTAGCGGAATTTCAGCAAGTTGCTCTCGTGTTTAATGTCTTCGTAGCCGCTCTGACAACTCAGTCAGTTAGGCAGGTGGCTTTGGAGAAAAACTAAATTTATGTAAATGAAAACAGAACATTAACGGCTTTACTTCACAATAAGTGTCATCCATCCCACTGCTATCGGATCTTACGTGATGGCCAAAATTGAATTTTCACGATGACAATCTCAAACGACCCTCTCTGGAACCAGACAAAAATCTCAAAGATCTGTTTCAACCGGGAAACAATTTTTTTAGTTCTCTAGGACTTTGAAGACTCCTCAGTCTAGCCTCTAATAAAACTCACTGGATAATCAAAGGATTTGCTAAGCTGGGCGACAAAAATATTCGCCACAATCGAATTTACAAAAAATCTGCCTTCCTCTAATCGATAGCAGTTGACTCTTCACCAATCAAAGCGCGTCGTAATGTGAAACAATATTAAACTCTGACCAAAGGAACTTGCGATTTATTGCCCAGAACACGTTCAACTCGCGTATTAATCGATTCGTTGAAAATCCTGCGGTACGAAAAGAGCTGCTAATTTCTCTACATGCGGTCTATAAATTTCGCTAACTTTTTCACTTCTAATCGAAAACAATAATGATCCCTTCACTGGGAAAGAGAAATTGAAAGTAAAACTCCTAGTCTCGAATAATGAAGATGGATGAAGGACTTCAGGTTTACATAAATATCAGATAAGAAACGAAAACGTCAATTCGGTAAAAGGCTGGATTGCATCGATCAGATCTTAGAATGTTGTAACTAATAGTTGGTCGGATGGTTTCCTATACAAATATGATTTCAAAATTTAATGCTTCCAATTAAATATTTTTTCGATGCGCAAATCAAAAACTGATGCAAACGATCTGCTGATAATTTCACTAATACACAATTCCGATTCAGTGTTTTTCCGTTTTTCGATGTTTTCGCGTGGCTCACATTATAAATAGACAAAATAAAGGTCTGTTTTGACTACAGAAGGTTTTATTCCAACTAATCATGAAAAGTTCAATTTCAGATTTTTCCGAAAGTCACTGAGCTAACAGCACGTTGAGATTAATATGGAAATCCTACAGATCATGACCAGCTTGCGGAAAGAACATCGAAAAAAAAACTTCTTATATAACGTAAATTCAGAGAAAATCAGAAAGGACTAACATTGACAATGTCTGCTCATTAGTGGTGAAAAGGAACAATGCTGAAAAATTTACTATGAAACACAAAAAGATCAGAAGCGTCTGTAAGGTAAACAAGTTCGAAACAAAAGGTGTTAATCACTAAACAGCGCTGACGAAAATAGATAGATATTGAAAAACGTACAAAGAAAAAGCGACGACTGCCATAAAATCAATTAAGCAAGGCACCCTTGAGATCACTCCCAAAAGCGGAAACGTTTATCGAGTTCGATTAAAGTTTTGTTTACTGTCTCAAAATGATTGGGAACCTAGAGTGAAAAATATATAGATTTCCGCAATAATATTTGCTCTTTCTCCCAGCAGACATTCCTGAAGTTGATAAAATCATGTGTTTATTCCAGGAAAATCTGATCATTTCACCGCATCGGTTTGGTAGCAAGATTCGTGCTAAGAAACCGTGAGGTTTTCAGGCGATCAGAACTTAGGGGAAAATTCCTGGAAAATGACAATGATTTTAAAAAAGATAGTCAGCATGAATAAATGAAACGGATTTTAGAAAGATTAGGCGAAGCTGATTATACTGGACAATAATCTTATTTGCTAATATGTTTCGTGTTCGTTAAGTCGCCTTTTCGTTCACAAATTGAATTAAGTCATGTTATTGGATTGCGAGGAGAAAAACTCTAATCAGTCATTTAAAAATACGGCACTAAATTAAAACATTGTTTGCACGTATTCAAATCAAATTTTAATGACAGAAATTTTGGCAAAGTTTTGAACGACATCTGGAAATGAGGAACGGAAAATGTCAATGGTATTTACAATTTAAACACGACTCCAACTTAAGCCAATCTATCGAGCAATTTTTGTTCTAACCCTGAGCAAAATGATCAACAACAACAACAACGAAACAATGCAAAGAAAGAACGTGTTTGTGAATACATTACCTTTAAAGAACTTGCCGGCAAGTCTTTCCTTTACACAAAAACTGGCAGGTAGTTGTTTTTTCTTTATGTGGTAAACATCCCCAAAGTCGTGTTTCGTTCTAGATGGAAGAAGTTGCTGATTCGTTCATTCCAAGAACCGATAGATGTAAATGACCTGATTTTGGTCGCGAGAATGGAGAAAGAAGGAAAATGACTTGAATAAAAATATCATTTGGAAGTAATCAGTTAAAAGATTGATTATCATGTTTAACTTCCTAGATATGACTTCAATTGATCAATAACCGAAGGCGTAGCAGAATAGTTTCGCAGAATATAGGCACTGTGTAATTGTTGGAAAAATTTTTAATGATCAGCTGTAATAAACATAAGTACCTCGCCCTGGGTCAAGGTGAAAGGGTTGTTTTTCTTTTTTCCTTCTATACGATAAAGGGCCGATCAAGGGGCCGTAGTCCCCAGGCTCTCTCGGTCCATTAGAGCTGGACCATACGGTTACTCTGAGAGCCATGTTGTCACCAAAACGCCGCCGATGCGGGCACGTGCTGTTACCCACCCTTTCTTGGGCTTTCCGCGCTTACTGAGGAAATAGTAAGAGCCTGGGTGCGGCATTTAATGAGTTAAGGAAAATTTTCATAATTCTTGCAATGTGCAATGCGCAGTTCTATACTTCCCCACCAAAGGAGACACTGCAAAGCACAGATCCATTTTTCTGCAAAAGCATGATAGTAAATACCATCTTTGATACTTTTCTGTTTTGCCGTCAATATTTCTTTTCATCACTTTGGACAAAAGGTGTATTACAGTGAGCTCCGCTATCAGCTAAGCACTGCCCCAGTTTAGCGTCGCATTTGAATCGCCGCGGCACATAATCCTTACTGAGTAAGAACATTTTTTCTTAGCTTTGGGATTATATTTGATATTCATCTAGATCTTTCCCTGATGCTTTTTCCTGATGTTCCACGCTGAACATGTCGAAATGATCGTCAACTTTCGTACGTCTTTGTGTGCCTTCCTCACAGAGTTCCGCACTGTGCGCTTTTTTTCGCATAATCAGTTTTGACTCTCGCGACGGACTTTGCCGAAAAGGAGAGACTGTATGTAATCTACACTGATGTTGTCCCTTCCCTTTGCACAGAGCGCAGAATATAATCTGTGAACCGTGCTTAAATAATGAGTACGTCACGGAAAAGCGGCGAGCTTAAAAAATCCTGACGCTTCTTAAAGAAATCAAAAATGATTTAATCAAATATAATAGTGAATAACACAAATAGACATAAAGCTTGCCTGAAGGCAAGGAGTGTATACGGTGTTAAAACCACAGATTACCTCAAAGTGTTCGATTAATTTTTTTCCTTCTCGAATGTTTCGTGGATTTGTATCCAAAATGTCTTTTTAGTTTAATAATTTGAGCTATCAGGTTAAGAGGACCGAAACGAATTCGAATTTGTTACAACCTAACTTGCACTTTTATCAAAGCATTTAATTGGATAAAAAAGAATAACCAATCAAATACCTTGTTATAATACTACTGTCGGCTATCTAGCACGCCTGGTTGATTTTGCAGGTAAAGTATAACATCAGCTCATTTTCATCTGATTTTAATCATTGATATTTGTCCTTGTGGACGTCTTGTGATATTTTCCTGAAATCATTGATGGATCACGTAAATAATGATGGGACAGACAAAGTTAAGGTTAGAAAGTTAAGATTGATTTCTGATTCCTCTCGCCAAGCCATGCGTTCGGGAGAAATGGAAACGATTGCTCAACTTACGATTCAGTATCGCAAAAATTATTTCCATGGCAGACATAGCATATGTCCTTGGAGACGTAATCATTCATGTCAGTTTAGACGTACAAAGTCAACACTTTTGTAATCGATAGTTATATTTTACAAGAGGTGGTTTTTCTCGCGGTAAAGTCAATCGCGGCGACAAAGTAAAATCGAGCATCCAGGAGATCGTATCGCCTCCAAGGTGTTAAAAAGTGTGCGATCGGCGAGGAAGCATGCGATTCGTTCAGATTAACTTTACTAATTAACCTAATCTTAAAGTAAAAACCGAATATAATCCTTTCGTCTAAAACTCCACATTTACTTATTTGTCGCAACAATCGACAGCACGTTCTTTCCGAGGTTGGTTTATTTTTGCAAGTGATCGCGACTCGACTTAAGTACCTATGCGTTATTGTGACCGCGTTCGTTCAGATTATTTTGTTTACATTGAGCATATTTGCATAAGTCGAAGAGCTTATTTTGAAAGATGCAAAATTTTTGCTATTGTTCTTTTCCACTCAATAGGTAACTGTTTTGTTCTTTGCTAAAAGCCGTGAATTAGTGGAACAGCGTTCGGCACAAATATTTATTGGGAAGAGACTCTTGGGGAGAGATCTGATAGCTGGTATCCTCAACAATTTTCCGAGGTAAGGCGAATCTTATGGGTCAATGATCTTTGTGGAATCAGTGTTTTGTTCATTAAGGTTCGAAAGATTCCGTGCACTCTATCAGAGTTTTCTTTTACAGGATACCCAAAACATCTTGTACTTTGGTAGAACACTCCCTTCACCACGTTACATATTTTGTTTTAATCGATTTGCGTTACCTTTTGTTGAGTATAAACTCATCAATCGAACGCTCATTTTGTTTTAAGTCTTTCAGTTATTCAGGAAAACCTTGTGATCGCCGTGAATCAAAATTACATCGAAAAGGAGTCAGAAATTATTCTTAACGGAGGCGAAGAAGTCGCAGTTATCCCACCGATTAGTGGTGGCTGAAATGAAAGAAGAAAGGTATTAATTAAAATAGGTTCTAAAATTATGAGGTGGAACTAAGGGAATATGGGACTTATTTGTAAAAAGGGGCTAAAAGGGGTCCCAGGTAATTTAAGTATTCAGTCAGCCACAGCAGTTACCAAATACACACTCAATAAAAATAACAATTTGATATATGGCAAAAAATTTTCCAAAAATAAATTCTCAGATTTTTGTCAAACTTCCTCAACAACTGATTGTAAACCTTTTCTCAAAGATAAGCAATCTGCTGCGGCTATTCAAATTATATCACCGATCAGAGCAAACACACAATTATAAATGAAGGTGTTTGACAAATTGAAATTGATTTCTTGACCAATGACTGCAGGACTTGACCATTTTTAAGCAGGTGTAACAACAGTCATAAATGTGGTCATCACCATTTTGAGGTTGGCAATTATCCAGTTGACTGAGAAAATATCAATAACCGCTGATTGAATTGTCAGGAATCAAGAATGACTGACATCATCTGTCAAGGGCAGCTGATCTATATCCATGAAGGGGATAAAACTTATTGTATGATCATATTGGAACCAATTAAAATTAATTCACTTGTTTTCAAAACATCTGTGTATGAATTGACAGCTTCTTCTTTTCTCTCTCACCCATCATAAAAACAAGGGGGAATAAAAATTGTAAGAGTCAAAATTACCAACCAGTTGCAATAGTGTTTCCTACAGGAAAATCTTCAGCATTTAGTTTTGTTAAAACTTTATCCAAAGTATCACCTAAAGCCTTGCCATAAAATGTATAGGGGAATCAGATTTTACATAAGATGTTTGCCAATAAAGAACTGTTCTTGCTTATTCTTATTCTACTCTAAACACGAGCTGACTTGTCAAACAGAACAAAAGATTTTAATTAATGATGTCTACCAAATATAGTTCATCTTGGTATGCAAATTGATAATGCTCATGACAATATTTTTTTCACAGTTTTGTCACAATGACAGTATCACAACTTTAAAAGGAAACAATTTTACAAATTTCAAGTAAAATATGTTTGAAGAATTTCTCTTGCAAGGCTCAAGTTAACATATTCACTGGAAAACAAGTTGTTTGTATCATTTTTTTACTCCCAGTAATGCTGATTTTATATGTATTTGTAATTACTTCACTAAAAGGGGCTGTCAAAAGCTGATTTTCAAGTTCACCAAATTTGTTTTGTTTTTAAATTAGCTTATGGACCCCATATAATCTAAAATATGAATTATAATCAATACATGATCTAAAATGTGCATTAGAATCAATATTGACACAGGCAGACTGGACATTTTTTAATGAAAGATGAACAAGATTGTGAAACATATTAACTCCCATCAGTCTGCCCTCTACCAGTTTTTTCTGGCTGTTTCTAGATGTTCATTAACATTCAGATTTTAGGGTAACATTGTAGCCAAAATGTATCTTATTCCAATTGACAGACTTCCATTTTTTGCTTCAGTAATTACAGATAATGAACCTTCTCTTCGATAATATGCAAAACTCCAGAGCATTGTATAGCATTCTGTATATTTTTGGGAAAAAAAAAAAAACTCTTTCATTTCGTTCTGAGTCTATTGTTTTGTGTCCCTTCATCCAGATGTGTGTGTATTGACAATTTTTGACCTGTCATTTCCCTTCTAGATCAATTATATTTTTATTTGAATCCCTATTCCCGAATTATTCTATGCAAACATTGATACTATTTTTAAACATAATTACTACTGTTGTTTACTGAAATTTTTACTATCTCAAACTGTTCCTACAGTTACTGAAATGTGTCTATAGATTGCAACATGTTGGAACAGTCACTTCTTTCTGATGATAATATTGGTACCACTGACTAATTTGTTGCTAAGCACTATGGTGTTGTTTTGTTCAGGAAAATGAATTCAAGTTATTCAAAAACACACATCACAGACATAACAACATTAAAATTATTTTTAACTGCTGCTTACTTAGCAGGGATGGTTTTTTCTTCATGCAAAAATTCTTGTACACACACTCTCTGACTCTGAAGGTTGTCAGGGGCTGATTTTTGTCAAGTTTACAATATACTTCTCGTTTGAAATATTTGTGGATACAAAAATGAGGTAGGGAACGTGACTTAAAGATATTGGTCATCCATGTGTAGAATGGGAGGGATCTTTAATTTTTGATATACGCATGGAATAACATATAAATATCACTATAATTTATATTAAAATTTGCAGTTTAGGGTTGTAATTTTTCAACATAATTCAAGGGAACGTGATCTCAATGCAGATGGCTTAAAATTTATTCAATATAATATAATTTTGTCCTCTGTATGTGCTGAATAAATAAAAATTTGCAGCAGTGAAAATTTTCTTTCAGGAGGCCAACTCACATCATCAACTCAGTTGATAAAACCAAATTATTGAGAAGTACCTCCTACTAGCACAGCACCACTGACAGTTTCTTCAAAAACTTACCTCCTTTATTCATTGAGGTTATTAAGTTACATTCAGTTTGAAGTAAATTATGCATGTTAGATTTTTGTCAACAAGGTGGTTCAATATTATGAATTTCAGAGAATGTTGAAATTGAGGAAGTCCTGCCCCTCTGCCGCCCTACCAGTTCACAACAAGTTCAATGTAGCAAGTATGGCAACTTCACCCCAAAACATTTACTTGTTTCCTTGGGGCAAAACTTGTTTCTTTTCTTACAAAATTTTTAATAAATTCAATTAACATGCAAATTTCATCCTCAAACTGAGATGCTTGAGTCAGCAAACATGCTGAGTTGCTTTCAAATTCTGGCCTCCACCAGTGTTACATGATATAATTGATTGGTTTTGGAGTATTTTTTTTTTTTTATATTGCAGATGATGCACCTGCAATAAATTATTCACCCAACTCTAATTTGTTTCCTTTTCAGTAAAGGAAAGGCACACAGTTTACACATGGCAGATGATACAATCGTTATAACACCAGATCACCTTCATGTTGATCAGGTTTCAGAAATTGTTGGTGCTCCAAGTGCTGGAGCAATCTCACTGTTTGTAGGTGGGCCTAGTTTTCTCTACCTCGTTACAAGATCTCCTTAGTTTACCTTTAATCACAGTGTACTTTAGCCCTTTAACTCTCATGAGTGACCAAGACAGAATTTTTCCTTACAATATCAACCAGATAAGTGATGAGAATAAAGAAAAATATCAATATGAGGATAATTAGTTGATCCAACACTAAGTTCTCTGAACTAACACTATAAGAATTTTATGATTGACAGTAAGGAGAATTACAAATTTGATCTGGGAGTTAAAGGGTTAAATGTAATTTTGAGTGATAGATGACAAAATACCTGTTGTTGTCACTGACAACTAGTTGATCAACATCTCTAATGCATCACTAACTATTGGTTATTGGTCAGCCAACTATTTGTCAGTAGCTGACCTGTACTTTTGCCAAAACCATTAGCAGTTGACCATCATTCACCCAATAATTAACATGCAGTTTTGGGGAACTTTTTTCTCTTTACTTGGACTCTTTAACTCCTTAAAGTGATAAGTATCTAATTCCTCCAAAAAGTATCACTCCTGAATCAAAATCAAGGATGAGCCTAAAGGAAATGATTTTAAATTTATGTACCCTTGACTGTTCAACAAATTCTCCATGTGAATATGATAGGAAATGAGAGTATGGAGAACTTGTATATTAGTGTTAGGGTATTAAGAGTTAAGTTTTCCAATGCGATGTCTTTTACTTACTTAGTAAACACTCATGATTATGACATGACTGTCTTTTATATTCCTTTAGGGACCACAAGAGATAATTTTGAAGGTGATCATCAAGTTTTTTATTAATTGCATGTTTCCTGTCATCAGTATACTCATTTATTAAATTATAATCTTTACAAGAAGAAATGTGAGACAGTTTGTTAGTGCTAGTGCTAGTTTATATCTTTTAATCAATAGTGTTTCAGGCCTCAAAAATTACAAATTGACTGTTAGCTGTAATTTTCCAGATTCCTCCAGTTAGTAAAATTTGCTTGTCCTTAAAGAGATTTGAGTTAACTAATGTCAACAGTTTTCTTAGTCTTACATCAAATAACAGGTAATCATTCCAAAATTGTGTCAATTGCTGCAAAGTTACGGTACTCTCTCTGAAGTAGAAGTGAAATTTATATGATACTTCTGTTCAAACAAATAACTTTTTTTGTCAGGAAAAACAGTAGTACGCTTGGAATATGAAGCATACATACCTATGGCTAGGTCAGAGATGCGCAAGATCTGTAAGCAAGTGCGAGAAAAATGGGATGTGATCAAAATAGCCATCTTTCATAGAATTGGGTAAGTTCAACCCTTGTTTGCCAGGTTCAAAAATAGGAGAAAGTATCAAACTTTAGAAGGTTTCATCTGTACTCAAGCCAAGTGCCCCATCCACTGCCTTGTTTGAGGAAACATGTTCCCCCTTATCTCCACTTGCCGGTTTTTAAGGGGTTTTCATGTCAGGCTTTGGTGCATTTAGTTTCCTTCAATCATAATTATAGTAAAAATATTGTAAGCATATTGGTGTTAAACAAACAGTACAATGGCTTGGCTGGCTGGCCAACGCACCCAGTTATTACCATTTGTGTGGTCCAAGGTAGAGACCAGCCTGGTTGACCAGGAGTCCAGTGCACCAACCATAAGTGCACCTCATTGCTCAATTTTAATGTCACTGTGTAATTCAGAAACTGTGTTTGATGAACAGTTGATCACAAATAACAATGTTTTTGCAGGGTGGTACCCATTGGAGAAGCCAGTGTGATTATTGCTGTTTCATCAGCTCACAGGATGAATTCTCTTGAAGCTGTACAATACTGCATAGATACTTTAAAAGCAACAGTACCAATTTGGAAAAAGGTACATTTGAAATTCACCTTTTTTCTTCCTACTTTAACCTTTTTCCATGGAAATTCAGAACTTTCTGAAATTTTCAAATAACAGTAGGCAGAGGCGAGGCTGAGAATGGAAATCATTGCAAAACCACAATTCAGTTCATTGAGATTTAATGTGAAAATTAAATATTTCTAACCTATTCCTTAATCTTTAACATGTAGTCTGTTTCTGTGGGTTATATACTTTTGTAGAAACCTATAATTATTACAAACCAACATACCGCAATGATCAATTCATGGTTGGCTTGTTAGCTCAGTTGGTACTTCCTTGGTTTGGTAGAGATCATGGGTTCAAATGCCTTACAGGTCTGAAATTTTTTCAGGCTGTTAATGCATAAGTAGTGTTCATTACTGTGAAGATTGCTTTCAAATTTATTTCTTGATCTGCAGTTCACATAATTACATGATTTTCATATATTCACAGTCATATACTGATTCTGTTGTATTATAGTGTGAGTCCAAGATGCTATGCTAATGTCAGAATTTAATTTAAAATTGCTCTACAGTGTAATGCTATCATTCCATTAAACCTACATGGGAAACCCAATATAAAATAAGAGAAGCATTTTGAACGTTCCACATTTACTTATTGTACCTTTCATTGTCATTTTCAGGAAGTCTATGAACAAGGTGAACCAAGTTGGAAAGAGAACTCAGAATGCTTCTGGGCAAAGAAAGTTGGGTCATCGAAACAGTCTACAGTGTAACAAAGAACAGGCAAGCCATCTGCTAAAATAACCTGGCATGTCATCACCATTAATTACAAAGATGTTTGCAATCAAGAGTTCTTCCATCCTCACCTAAAACTCAACTCTTCAACCCACACATCACAATGGATGTTCATTTTACTAATAATTTATGCAAGACTTTGATTTAGTTCACCAATGTCTTCACTGACCAATGTCAAATCTTCATTTCGCAGTCAATTTATTGCACTGCATGAACAAACAGTTATGAGTGTAATAAGTACAAGCAAAATGTAACAATTAGTGTATAGATGTCTTATGCAAAGGTGCATTGTATGCTAGAGAGAAGCAAATATTTTAAAATGACATACAGTAGAATGTAATAATAAATATGACATTAATGATTTAGCATAGTCATGTTTTACACAGAATAAGTCTTATCATTGAACCTTTTCATTGGAGTACATGACAGATAGGATACCTCTAGATATAATCAGATAAACTGCTTACTAGTTTGTCACAGCGCAATGAATTCTGAAATTACTACCTATGAAAGGTGTTTCAAAACATTTAAAAGTAGAGTACAAAGATTCTATTTACAACACAAAAGTAAAATGTGATACACAGAGACAAGAAAACAAAAGGAACATTGATAACAAATAATAGAGACAGGCCTCTATGATTTTGTTTGTTTGTTTGTTTTTAATTTAAGGTTTAATTTAGATGGCAGTGTACATTTTTTAATGAATTGCTTGATGTGGTTCCCTCATCTCTCCAATCACCATTTGCAAAGCAACCCCTCTTGTTGTTCCCCTCTTATTTTCAATTTGTTATTGTTCATCAAATCCCCACGGCTCTTAAATCACTCACTCTCTGGATGGTGACCTTCACTCTCTGGATTGTGGCCTCACCGAAAAGAGTAGGTCTGCAAACTGACTGGATCAGCATTAGTCAGCAACTTCCTTAGACCATGCCAAACTAGAGACACAACAGACACAAAAGTCTCTTCCAGCTTCTTCTTAAATCTCAGTCTTCCATCCTAATGCGAAGAAATGTACTGGGATAGAATAAAAATGGTCTCATCTACTTGCAGCTCACTCTGATCCAACCTATAGACAAAGTCAGGCACAAATTTAGTGGCTTCATTCAACATTGAAGAAATTTGAAATTAACTTTGTTCTTCTCTTTGCAAATGTTTATGGAATATTTAATATATCTGAAAATGACATATATTTCCTGCTCTGAATGGTTGAAAAAGGTGGTAAAATGGGCTGAGTCATTGGAATTGACATACAGAGGTCTCCTGGTCAAATTGCACTTGGGTTTGTTTCCTCATAGATCCAAGTTGAATGCATGCAAGTACATAATTTCATAAATTAACAACAAGTTTACTGTTAACAAATGTAAGAACAGAAACAACACTGGGCCACAAATTATTACATTGATCTTGAACACATGCCATTTGTTGAAGTGATCTCGAGCATGGTGAAAATGAACAGTAGAAAAACTCTTGCTGTGACTGACTTTGACGTTACTTACTTGGCAAGAGAAAGCTTAAGTTTCTTCAGCTGCTCTTGTTCTGCTGGAATAATAAGCTCTCGCAGCTCAGCTATAGCTTCTTCTGATGTCTCCTCACCATGTTGAGCCTTCAGTGTGTTTATTGTTGCCTCCACTCTCTCTTTCTTTTCAATTAAACGTCTAAGGAAAAATGAGCGAGGTCAATGCAGGACTTGGTGGGAAAAAAAACCCGGGTTCTGTATTACCAGTGAACAGAAAATAGCATTTCTATGTTTAACTCTTTAACTCCAATGAGTGACCAAGACAGCATTCCTCCATACAATTTAAATACAATGTCAACCAGATAAGTGATGAGGATAAAGAATAATAGCAATTTCAGGGGTAATTAGTCGATCCTATACCACATTCTCTGACCTAACATTATAAGAATTGTATCATTGACAGTAAGGAGAGTGAGAAATTTGATCCGGGAGTTAAAGGGTTAACAGTAGCAGGTTGTTCTCATTAGCAAAAGAGGTTATACCACCCCTGATGGGTAAAGAACTTGCCCAAACCAAACCTTCCTTCCTTTTTCACTCTAACACTACATAAGCACCTTTACTATTTCCCCCTGCTTTATGAACTGAGCATCTGGAACTGCCTATCACCCCTGCCTCCTACAATAATTGTGGCATGCATATGTGGATGCATGGGGAGGAACCAGTGTGATTTTATAGGTTTTTATACTTGTTGAAACAATACAACAGAATCAATTAGAAGTGATGTTCCATACCTGTGCTCCTGTATTTCAGTCTCCCTTCTGCTCATCAGGTTCCCAAGTGCCTGGAAAAAAGAACCATGTGTGTTAACTATATCACAAAGCCTTATCAAATAATGTATTGAATACCAACCATTTTAAAAAAGACTAAGAGCAAGTAATGGACTTAAATCCTTCTTTTCAATAGAATTTGGTCTCAGTAACATACAACCCACACTGGGGTGAACCCAATTAATACTTTCACCCCTTAAACTCCCAAGGTCTGATTGTTAATTCTCCTCTCTAGCTGATACACATTTCATTGTAAATTAGTTATGAGAATTTGGTGTTAGATCAAGATAGCAACATCTACCTGATAAGTTTGAATATTCTCACTACCTGTTTGCTAGATAATGTAAAGAAACAATAGGGAGAAGTTTAATGTTAATCACTTCTGGTAGTTTAAGGGTTAAAGGGTTAATGCTTTTTTCTAACTGCTACACATTTTCTTGTGGATAAATTATGAGAATTTGGTGTTAGATTGAGAAAAATGTTTCTACCTGATAACTTTGAGTATTCTCATTACCTACTTGAAAGAAATTATATGGAAATTATTGCAAGAAGTTGCCTGTTAATCACTTCTGGGAGTTTAAGGGTTAAGAACTGTTTTAATTTTTTGTGAATGTTTCTGTGCAAATACATGTTATGTGAGAGGCAAGAGTTTCATTTTCTTCAACCCTTGTGATAGGTTTTTCTCGTTGCTCAAGTGTTGAAATGTTCTGACATTAAGAGCTGCCATAATCAATGTCAGTTGGTGGTTAAAGGTAATCTGATTGGTCACCTGATAGGATTTTTCAAGCAGCATTCTACTAAGCTGTGGAAGATTCACAGAAAACAAGTAAACTGTTCTTGATGGGGCATAATCTGAAGCACGAGGGATTTCCTGTTAACAGAGAAAAGCATAATGTTATGAAAACAAAGTTGATAGCTTTTTAAAGATGATTAACAAACAGTTTTTTTTTACCTGTAGTGCAATAAACCTCTCTGCAAATAGTTTGTAGAGCAGCTCCTTGACATCTTTAGATGGAATCATGGCCAACTCACCAATCTGAAAATTGAAATGATTTGAAATCATAATCATTTACAAAAAAATTTGTTAGTGGCAGGGTTAAAGACCTGGTTGCTTCAGAGAAACCTTTTTTTTGTTCCTCTTTCATTAGTTATTTTATAAAAGAATTGTAAAATGGTTTCTGTGTTTACATAGCCTGACGTAAACATGCGGGAGGTTGGGAGAACACTCGATAAGCTGGAAACCACTCTGCTTCGCGTCATGGTTTCCTACGCTTATCTCGTGTTCTCCCAACCTCCCGCATGTTTACATCAGGCTATGTAAACATGGAAACCATTTTACATTTCTTCAATATTTTATGGTATACTTGCTGTTTGGTTTGGAAATTGACCCTTAATGCCTGGTAGGTCAGTTAGTTGGTCTTTAACAGTTAGTTGACAAAATATGTCTGTCTCACTACATCAAGGTTATTTTGAACTTATAAGATATTAAGTTCACAACATACAATTCACAATAATGGTAAAGGGAAGCAAGATAACAAATCATTCCACCTGTTTCTGTTCCATGTGTTTCTTAAGAAGTAGCAATCTGAAGATTCTGAAGCATCTTGAACCAAACCTGAATTTCAATGTAATAGAAAACACTAACCTCAAATAAGGGAAAAAATACACACAACACTGCATACATCCTAGTAGATAATTGCCTATTCTTTCATGACAGTAATGAAATTGCTTATGATAATAATTTAAAATAACAGTTGCAGTAACCCCTAACACCTTGACATCAGTATGCATATTCTCCACACTGTTCTCTGTACATTAACTAAGGTGCTGACAAGGAGAACTTGTTTGAAAATCAAAAGCTTCTCTAGTTAGAGATCATTTCCTTTACTCTCATGACCTTAATGTTTGATTCAAGGATGATATTGTGAGGAGAAACTAGATGCTGGTCACTTTAAGGGTCAAAGGAGTAATGCCTTTTAAGATTCTAGCGTGGGTAAGCTGACTAAATTCCAATGGAACAACTTTTATTTACCTCTCTTGAACAATGGATTCAATCACATTTTGGCACAAGGTATCCACACACTTTTGCAGATCTATAAAACTGTCAAGGGAAACTATTCTTGCAAAGGGAATGCAAATTCTACCAAAATACACCCAGCAAGATAATTGAACATGGATCATTTAATACAGGAATGAAAGCCTTAGCCACATTTTCCAGTAAGGAGTATAAAAATATCATCAAAATCAACAATCCATTTTCTAAGCTATGATTTCATTTGGCCATAAAAAGATACTTATACAATACATTCCTCCTCCACTCTCTCCTGTTTTGGAAACCAAATTATCCTAGAAAAATGATAAATTACCAAAATTTATGACAAGAGCACTGCAAAAGAACTCAACTGGCAAATCTTGGACAATAACCTTACCTTCTCATCTGTCAACAGTGAAAGGTACTGAACAATCTGTGCCTTCTCCATCTTGGGAGTTACAGACAAATTCTGTGAGATCTGTTGATTGATATTATTCAGAGAACACAGTGCTGTATTATTTTATCAATTTAATGAAGAAAAAATTCAGTCAGCAGCTTCTTACCTCATGAAGCGATACTGTTTGTGATGTTGGTGATAAGGGATCTCTTGCCAGCTCAGTCAATTTCAACATTGTCTTGACAATCTCCCCTGCAAACTGAGCAACACAAAATAAAAGCATTTGATCAACTTTGGATAAGTTACAATAAGTTCAGAAATAAAATAACCTAGGATGATCTGAGATGATGTGACCTAATACCAATCTAATTACGTTCATGAGTTTTAGGAAAGATTTTCACTGAGCTTACAAACAAACAAAAGACAAATGATAATTAATTATCAATCATTTTTGGTCAATTTGTAAATTACAGATAGCATAAACAAGCATTCTGTAAGAATTTCATTTCCTGGTTTAGGAGAAGTATATAAACATATCATTAGCCGTAAAATTTGACGGTAAATTTCCTGACTAAGTGTCCTACTTACCTTATCAACTTTCTTGGTTACAACAGTGACAATATTCTAGGAAATAATGTTTAAAATTCATTAGTAAGTCTTGAGGAGAAATGAAGGTGGACAAAATACATCTATATTGAGAGTGCTAATGAAACATATTTATCAGTAATTCTCTCACAGTATCGATGACTAGGATGACATGGCTTTAATAGTTGCTTATGTTGATTTCTTGGACAAGCCAACTAACTCTGCTCATACAGCCTGTAAACAACTTACCACAAAAAAATGAAATCCTTAAGGCCTATTTACACGGCACGACTTTGTCGCATGCGACAAGCTTACGACAGGCCTACGACATGACTTAAGAGTCGTAAGCGAGTTGTAGGTTTGATTTACACGAAACAATTCGTGTCGTAAGCCTGTCGTAAGCTTGTCGCATGCGACAAAGTCGTACCGTGTAAATAGGCCCTTAGCTAGTCTAAAAGTAGAGTAGCCTAGAAGAAAGCTTCCTGAAATTTCCAATGATTATTAGCTGTACAAAGATTTTGTTAAAGTGAAAACTACCTGGAGTAGTGTCTAAATATTGTACCTCATCAATGAAATGCTGATGAAACCTTGCAAAGTTCACTTGCCATAAAATTCCATCATCGCTTAATTCCTGAATAGCAGTGACAAAAATACAAATGTAGTGATTGTCTAAATATGGATGATGAAACCCTGGTGTACCTTAGAACTTTGAGATGATGTGCACTATGTGTAGTCTATTACCATTATTATTATTATTGTTATTATTACTATTATTATTAATATTATTATCAATATTCTTATCACATTACCACCATTATATATATTTTATAGCAGATCTCATTCAGCCCTATACTCTGACAAGGCAATTACAATCTTCTTCAAAAAATCTCCTTGTAACACCAAAGTCTAATCTCAAGTTTTACAGCGACAGATCTTTTCAAGTTGTGTGCCCAAGCTCTGGAACTCCTTAACTGATGACATAAGATCAATCCAGAACCTTGATGTTTTTGAGAATAAGATTAAAACACTACTTTTTAGAGAGGTTTTTATTAGTTAGTTGACTACCCTTTTTTTTTTTTGTTATTGTATATATTTTCCTTAGTTAATCTTAGCATCTAGTCGATTGTATCTTATTTTTTTGAAAATTAACTTCTATAACTGCTATATATTTTCTTTAATAACTCAAATGTTTTTGTTTATTTTTTAGAATTACAATTATTGCAAAGCACCTTTGAGCTCACGGAAAGGGTGCTATATAAATTCTTGTAATTATTATTATTATCATCATCATCATCACTACATGGTAACTTGGTTGTCAAAGTTCTTCTTGATAGTAAACCTGATATTTCTGACTTTTTGCAGGCAAGAGACCAATTTAGACAGAAGATGTGCAATGTCAAGTTGAAAAGAATCTTGCAGAAGAATTCATAAATTACTGAGAAGAATTTTTGTTACTTCAGTTATATTTTACTTACAGAGCTTCTGGCACCAGCAGTGTAGCTAAAATGAAACAAGACACAAATCATGCTTGCTGATGTCTTTAAATAAAATGTAACTAACATCTATCATAGAGAACAATTCATCAGAATTGAAAAAGTGTTGATTACCACAGTTATGAAATATTAGTACATACCTTGCTCCTGTTTTTTGCCTCTTTGCTGTTTGACCCTCATCACCAGTACTTCTCTTCCGTTTTGAACCATGACCTGCACATAGTGATATACTATGTCAACGCCATGCATCTGCTGTAAAGCAGATGCAAGATACTTTTCTATGCACCTCTCTTGTGTTCTTGAATGATCCTTAAATAGCATTCTCTAAGCCCTTCAACTCCCAAGATCCAGGCCAAGGGTGGATAACATTATCCACTGGATAAATTGCTATCTAGCAGATTAGTGTTAACAAGATGTACTGCACTATCCAACAGATAGAGATTTATCCAGTGAATAGCATTAGATACCCTTTGAACAACTGGAGCCTGATGATTAATTTCCCCCCCTAGTGGCTACACATTTCCTTGTAAACTAGTTACAAGAGTATGGTGTTAGATCAAGATAACAACTTCTACCTTATAAGAGTAATGAGTGAGGAATGTGTGGGGAGGAATGGGTAGGGAGAAACAGAGTTGACTTCTCATAAAGCAGTCACTTCGCCACAGTTGTACTTTATGGGTTAGAGTGAGGTATCAGTCTCAGAGTTGAGTGCCGCGAAAAATCCTCAGTGGGGATTGTTCATGAAATGTAAGTGACTGGTGTAAGAGATGCATTATTTCAAAATAAGGCCTTTACAAGATCTATTATGATAAATAAAAAACACTTCATTACAACACCTTGCAAGTTCATTCCAGGTGGCAGAGCATAGAGGTCATCCTCATTATAACTATTGTTGCCCATGGTTTGTTCTTCACTTTTCATTGGCCTCAATCTTTGAAGAAAATGGTTCTTCACGAGATCAGCAAAACAAACTCGAATCTCATCCTCATCTGAATCAATGTCATCCTCTTGTAAATGCCTCGCAACTTTGTCCACAACTGTGCTCATGATAGCAGACCCATGCTGAAAAATTTCATCTATTATCAACTCGCCAGTGTACCCAAAAAGAGATTTCACACAATAAATGTACCGCGGAGCACGGAGACGAAGAAGGATATTAGAAATCCACGCATTGTACAACGTAACGTTTCTCTTATTCACTTCAAATGTGACAAAATGATGTTGAATGAGGCAGCACAACGCCTTCTGCACTTGGCCTTGAGGTAGTTTGGTTCCTCGAGTTATATCCTTCAAAGGACGAAGTCCTTTAGCGATACAAAACGTCCCGACCTTCTCTACAATTTCTCCATAATGTTCTCTTAAAATGAGGGACGCGACTCGCTTCTGTTGGACCGTCATAACTAATAAAAAGCTGTAAACCAATCACTGCTCCTCGCATGAGATTGGTCTACAGGTCGCCATTTTAGTGAAGATAGTCCCGCGGTTAATTCAACCAGCGTTAATTTTCAGCGGCATAGAGCTGTGATTGGTTTAAAATGTGACACCCAGCCAATAAAAAAGGCGAGAATGTATTGTTGGAGAAGTTGTAAATAACTTAAGCGTAAACAACTTTTCGGAGAACTTCACCCAAGTATTTTGTGCAAATCCATCGATTTACTGAGCTTCTCAGACATTTGAAGAGAAAGGTGAGGTTCTAACTTCTCAGTTGAAAGACATCAACTATCTGGCAGCATGAAGTCCAAAATGGAACATCGATCATTTGTGGTATAGGCTAATTGAGAATCAGATTAGATCGATTTGAAGTGTCCGAACTATTGTCACCATGAAAGTAAAGTATAACCGAGAAGTAGCTTGAATAGGAGCCTTCGGGAAAACTTTCCAAAGTGTTAGGGGTACAGCATACATAACACCGTTAGTTTATACACTATGCTTTGGTGGGTTACCAAATTATATCGCCGGTAAAATAACGATGTTGTGTGGTTCTGGAGAGAAAAGGCAGACTTTTTTCTATTGACATAAGGTTGGGTGGCTATTTGGTTTTGATAATTAGTATAATAATTGAGCACTTAGCAAGTAATTCAACTGAAAAATTGTTTTGTAGTTAGAAAATCTAGAGGGCTTCGTCTGGTGGAATTGGATCACTAAGTTTCGAATCCAACTAGCTCCTGCCATGAAAATTTCACCTGATCTATCACATCAGAAGCATACGACCATTTAAAAAAACATAAGGGGTAGTGTAGCTAAGTAGTGAGGCTAGATGTCAATTCACTTTCGAATTAAGGTGCTCACTAAGGTGCTTTACTAACTGGTCCATGAACAGGGTCTGTTCATTAAAATATGCTAATACATTAGCACTTGATTTATATACACTCCTCAACTTTTTTTTTCAGCCTCTCGTCGTGCTAAGTCAAGACCAGTCTACCAAAATTGATCGTTGTTGAATTCCTTGGTAATTACCTGTTTGAACAAGTCTTTTATGGCCACTGGAACAATACAATGCCCAGGATGTGGCCAGAATATCATGCAAGGTGCTGCAGTAGAGTGCAACTTTAAACCAAATTCCGAAGCTGCAACACGTCAAAAGGCCTTTGATGTACCTCAAGAGAGACACTGGCTGTGTATGGAGTGCAAATACATAGTGGAAAATCGCTATGGTGACTTATCAACCGTGACAACAGAAGATGCTTACACTTTGCTTTACAGTGTTAGACTAAACAAGAAATCTAATTGCTGTAATCCCTGTGCAGTTATATAGCATAACCCTGTCATCAAATCTAATAGCTAGTGAAAAGCATTACTGTTGCATGTTACTGGGTAATGTTACTCTAATTTCTGTACAATGGACAAAGTTGTAACTTCCATGCATTGAGTATGCCCTTTCAGCCCTTCATGCTGATCCATTACCCAAACAAGAGATTCAAGCAAAAAATGACAACTCAAAAGCAACAGCAAGCTCAAATACTCACAGATTTATTCATACTGGTCCATCTGATGTTCATTAACAACAGAGATTGCAGAATTGCATGGTTTTTCAGCAATCTCTGTTGTCAAGAATTGTTATTGATAATTCTCAGTCAAAAATCTCCAAGCTACACACATCCCAAAATCATAACAGACTGAACAAATGACACATACAAAATTCTTTGTTCAAAAAGAAACACCAATCTGGTGCCAGCTAGGGATTCATTTTAATGTATTTCCTTTGTAACTGAGGTAATGCGATTCTAAATACCACAAACTGCCTGTTATGTTCTTAGAAAATGAGCAGTTTAAATTTGGATTTTTTTTCCATGTTTCCTTAAATGGGAACCCTTCTATCCAAATACATAAAATGAGACAAATGAATGCCCCTTTCAAGATAATGAAAAATGGCAAACATTACAAGGTTATTTTAAAATATTATCATTATTGTATCTAACCCTAATTGTGTACATTGTATCATGGCCTGTTTGAGGGTCCTCAGTGACATTCTTTTTCAGCTCACACCATATTTTTGATGGAATCCAGGATAGTTTTCCATTTTTTAACAAGTTTACTTCTGTGAAAATACATTTTTGCCTATCTATTGGGTACCTAAAAATGTAACAAAGGCAGAACGTTTTGCATCTAAATCTGCACTACTGTGTGGTGAAGTGAAATACCTAGAGCCTTTGGCACAGCATATATTTAAATATAGCATTTTTTGAATTGTAGAACATCAGTCTCCTGAAGATACCATAGATAATGATAACCAGATTTGCAATTAAATTAAAGATAAATACTGTGCAAATATTTTTCCATATGAATGATTTTTTACAAGAATCTTAAGTATACATGATGACCAAAATTGATATGTACACCCCGTTACCCTTAACATTAAATAGATAAGAGGAATTGAGTCATTCACAAATTATTGGACAGACTTATTTTTAAATTCTGTGGATCTTTCACTCACTGGAGATGATGGTGCACTTTTAGAGCCACTTGGCTCCATCTTACTGGAAAGCCTGAGAAATGAATTAAGCGAAGATCTCCTTGTTGCAATGGAACCAGTGCTGTTTTTTGTCCAGGCTACACCAGCCAAAGGTCTCATTATTTGAACCGCTCCTAAACTTGGGGACAGTGAACTGTTCACTAACACATTAACGTTAGTTTCATCTGATTTCTTATCTTTCCTAAGGGAGCCATCTGAATACTGAAAATCATTTGTTAGGGCTTGCATTGTGTCATCTTGAGTTTCTTCCTGAGAAGCATTATTGGCAGTGACAACCATCTGTGGAATTTCTAGACAAATTTCAGAGTCTCCTGTCTGCAATGGTATGATTTCCTCTACATCATCTGCTGTAGAAATTCTTGCAGATGCTACATTTCCTGGAACATTGAGAGAAGCCTGTGAGCTTTGGATGTTAAAAGAATTTTTACCCGAAGGTTCAAGTGCCATTCCACTTGAGTGTTGTCTGGTTTCTTCATTGACACTTTCAGAGACTGTCTGAAGTCCAGCCTCGAGAGTGCGAGAAGGAGCTGGTTCATCCTTTGATGCAACATGAAGAGATCCCTTTGAGGAAAGATTACAAGACTGACTTCCAGCATGTAGTGATCTAGTGGTGGCATCACGCTGAAGAAAGTTATATATCAACCAGTTCACTCTATAAAATAAAGGAAATAGAACAATTCTATCAGAAAAGCAATATTTCACTTCATTTTAATTGAGCACTTCCCAAGTCCTTAGATTTTTTAGATGTACAAAAGAGACTCCACAATAAAAAGCTACGTTAAAAAAACATGAGCAAGGAACTTATTCTGTATAGATGGCAAAGACATTTATGATAATAATGAAAATTGTTTCAATTAATAAATGTTTATAAATCCATTTAGAAAGTTATGTAATGAGAGAGCCACTCTTAACAAAAATGATATGAAACTAAAAATTACTTCTTGGCACAGAGCTAGGCCAATTCTTGGTACAGCCCAAGTAAAGTCAGTACAGGAACTCAAAACAAGAGCATCCAATCATTCCCTCTCTAAAATACACTCATTCTCTGTTTTAGCAAAAAAAATGCTTTCTTACCTCACAGGAGACTCTACCATAACCATGTGGCCTGCATCTTGAATAACCTCTAAAGATGAACTGTATATTACCTATTACAAATGGAACCAAGTAGTGTTAATAAATATAGTATAAAAGCCTGAAGGAATGACTCACAAACTTTGTTGCTCAATCACAAACCTCTTGCATCCATTGCTCCTCCTCAAGAGTTACAAATTTGTCCTGTGCACCATAAATCAACAATGCCGGCACCATCAGTTCCTGGTGATATGTCTCATCACCATCTTCCCACACCTGGAAAACATTGTTTGACTATGTATTACACCATGTTCTAAAGATGAACCACAAAATCACTGAGATCTCTCTGTCACGTTATTCTTAAATTAAGGTGGTTTTAAAACAAAAACACTACCCAAAATGTAACATTTAAAGACTCAGAGGGATTTACTGACCTGTCCTGCCATAACAGCTTTCATTACAAAAGGTGGAGCACTAAAGGCTTTCACTTTCTTCCTGAGTGATCTTGCTCTCATGCTGTTGTATGCCCTCCTGAAATAATTAAAGTCATGAAATTTTTAACCAGACACCAGTTATTGTGCAATAAGAATGTAACATTTAATTCTTTACTCAGATTTGAAGATTTTCCTCCTCAGCTGTATGGTTCTAATGAGATCTTTGTTTCATTTCTGAGTAATTTTCCCATCTTCAATTTCTACCTTGGGAGCTGGGGGTTCAAGATGACTATTGAAAATGTTTGTTTCAGCTGAGTATCTAACAATTTGTAGAAAAAAATTTTTTTCTTGTTCATGTTAAAGATGTTTATTCTGCAAGACTAACCTCTCATAGACAGACAAAAATACAGGTTTGATACAAGACAGTAGAAGTGTTGGTAAGCAGAACACGTCACAGGTACCCACACCCACAAGTGGTGTAGGACCTCCACCAGATATGAGGACCATCTTGGACACCAGTCGAGCACGCTCACATGCAATCACTGCACAAAATGATGCCCTGAGTAAATTATAAAATATTGTTAAAAGGCATGGCTTGCCAACCACCATGGTGCTGACTCTTTGACAAAGTTTTTTCAGTTGTCAAAAGTAACAAGCACCAAAAAAAAAAAAATACAAAAGATATGAAAAAACCAAAAAAACATGAAACAGATGGCTGCATCCTAATTGCTCCCTACCCTCCCCACTTAATCCACCCTTTCAAGTGACAAGAAACAAGGAAATATCAGTTGACCCTTGAACTCCTAGAAGTGAGGACAGTATCCAGCAAACAGGAAATAAGAATACCCTAGTGGGATTAATAATACAAGTAGAATTAAATTGGTCTAACAGCAAATCCTCGGAACTAATTTACAAGGAATGTGAAGCAGCTAGAATAAAGAAATACCAATCAGTTATGGAACTTCCTGGGCTGAAAGCAAGCACAGTACAAAGTGCACCACACGACACTCCTCGTTGAGTCAGATCGCTTTCCTTTGGAAAGTACCCTCGGGGCCGAGCTGTTTGTCACATATAGTTCCGTAAGGAACTGATCGATCATCGGATACAAAGGGCGCAACAGATGTACAGAAACATGAAGACTTACCCATACGAATGTCCTACTAAAACGTTCCTCTTCTTATGGTATCGATCAAATAAACGAAGTAAATCATACGAAAGTTCAGAAAATTCGTAATCTGCGGTATTGTTCGGTGCGGAGCTTTGCCCGTGTCCTAACAGGTCAGGCGCTATAACTTCGTAACCTGCCTTGCAAAAGTATTGTACTTGTTCGTACCAAAGATCAGCGCTACCACCAACTCCATGTATGAAAAATATTACAACTATCTTCTTGTAATCAGGATCACCAACTCCAGAAGTGGCTGAACCCGCCGAATGAGCCGAGCGATTAGACTGAAGATCATCACGGCTGTAACCGCTATCGGATCTCGATATTCGAGGTTTGTAATGCACTACTCTCAACCATCTGCCTTTTCGTATTTCGACTCTTTCCGAAGGTAGATCAGAAACAGGAACAACTCTATTTTGATTACGTCCTCCAAGCGCTCCACACATTGAGCACTTTTGCAAAATCTTTTCCCCAGCTTTTGAATTTTTAGCGCACTGCAGCCTTCTTATCAATCCTCTATGAACTCAAGGGATATTTGCCAAATTATGAAAGCAATGTTGCACCCGCTGTTCGTCGTTTAAGATATGGCGACCTCAAGTCCATGTTCTTCAAATAATAGCTATTTCAAGCATCAAATTAATAATGTCCAGAGCAACGTAAGCTGTTAGAGAAGTTGGCACAGATTAGTGACGAGTGATATGTTTAAAGCAAAATTACCATTCCACGCAATGAGAATACTCTCCTCAGCGACTAGGAACGCAAAGCATAAATATATTCAAAGCTTCATGTTAAGTTCGATCTTTTTCTTGCTAAGTCTTCTTTGGTGCCTGAAAAATAGAGCGCGTCTTGATGACAAGACTAAGTGCTTCTTTACAAGAAACTCCCGGCTTGTAAACAAAACATGAAAATGCTCTTGTTTTAGCAGTTTTCGGCGTTGATACACGTTGGATGAGTGGGGTCGTTTCTGTGTCTCGAACAGGCTTGGAAGAATTTTACATAACCAAGAATCGCTTTGGAAATTTTACCATAACTCGTTATCGTCGCGCAAAAGACTCCTGAAATGACACGAGGTTAATTGAGAAGATTGCTTAATCCAAATTACTTCAACCGCAGTCTTACTGTTCATGATATACATCCGCAGTATTGCACCGGAAATCACGTCACAACATTTGTTGCTAGGAGAAATGAATACAATAAGTGATCTACATAGGGCAAATTATAATATTTTTACTGTTGATTGTTTATTCAATTATGATGTGTTTGAAACGATATATTACATGTTGCATGATAATTTAACTAAAATTGTGCATGTTGCTTGGAAACACAGAGATCAATGTTCAAGTGCATGTGCAGGGGAACATTTGCCCTTCATTAATGATAGTTTGCATTGTAAAACCAAGCACTTCTGGTTGCTGATATTGATAATTGCATCTAAAACTACATCAAGTTGAAGAAGAAGGAGAGAAACTCTGAGGTAGCTTAAGGTTAATGTCAAAAAATTAAAAGAAAAATGTAAAACAAGTTCACTTCTAGATTGTAGGGTAACCATGCTTGCTTAATTAAGTAACTACATGGACTAAATATTTACCTTATTACCTCAACAAAAGGCACAATAGAGTCTCTCTTCCTATTCAAACAATTTAACCATCTAACCCTAACCCTTGATTTTCTAGCATGTAATTCAAACAAATTCATCATGTTCCATCCTCTGTTTTATCTCCTAATGGAATCTTCACTTGCTCTAAATAAGCACCAGCAGGAAATCTAGGTGGAGGATCTGGGTCCAGACCTTCTCTTCCTTCAGGCCCGTGTTCTTTGCTTTGTTTTTATACTTCTCGTCAATAAAATTTGTGCACTAACAGGATCACATGTTACTACTAAAACATACAGTATCCAAAATTCACTTATCTTGAAATATTTCTCAGTTCATCCAGGCTCTAGTTCCTGAATCAAAGTTTCAACTCTTCCCCATAAAAAATTCCTGAATCCACCCCTGAACATAATGGGAAGACAGTTATGGTTAACACTGACCCTCCCACAAACTTGCAGTTTGTAGCAGAAAATCAGTTGACAGGTCTTTGACCCAATATCAGACCAGTGGTAAATCTAATGGTGAGGCACAGGTAGCAAGACTGACAACCAAAACACTTTGTATAAAAAGTTATTCTAAGATCCCCTTTCCTATCCTTAGTAGTTATAATTGTTGCTGGAAATAAATAAATAAATTTCAGAGTGAAAGTTTCAACTTAAGATTACGACAACTCTTTATTGACATCAGAACACTATCCTATTTTTGTTTTAAATCATTAATTCAAAAAGAATAATTTAATTCACTAATCAAATTCAGTTATAAATCATCCTTGAGTGAAGTAAATCTTACAATTCTTCTCTGACTTTGCACTATGCCTTATCTCAATGGCCTAGTTTTGATGCATTCATTTTCAAATCCATCACTTCACTCAACTGACCTCTGTATGCCATTCAAAAGAATGAGCTACAGAGCTTGTCAGGTTAATTCCTTGCAGCATAACCATGCTGTGTATCGCTTTCCATTGAATTGCAATATGTTAAATTAAAGCTGCACTATTGCAAATCTAGGCTCTGATCTTATGTGTTTGCACTGAAGTAAACCTTAAAAGTTATTAACCTGGCTGAATTTCTCATCTCAGTCAATAAAGTTGCCAGTTATTAATTTGGAAAATCCCAACAGGAGCTCAGAGATAATAAATCTTCTAACTTCCTCTGCAAGTCTTATGCTTGTTCCATTTCAACCAAAACTCCACCACAGTCTTTTGGGTGTAAAAACACTACAGGTTTACCATGAGCACCAATCTAACCAAATAATAAAATACCAAAATAAAAATCCCTAAAATCTGAACTCAGAAAACTGTCCAGTCACAAACGTTATGTAACAAAACAAAGAGTTACATTTGTGTAATATTTTCATTTTTACCTTTGGTTCTGGATTCAGGGCTCTAATATTATGTTCTTGAAGATCTTTCATAGCCTCTTTTATGTCATCAACCTACATAAAAATTTGGTGTAAAGGAATGTTACAGTCACAGACCACAGGCAATTTCTCTGTGTGGGAAGCTCATTCAAAATCTTTCGACAAAAAATTGAAAACAAATATTTGCCTGACCTCAATACAGATGTGATGAATTCCACCATCTTTTTTTTTATTCAGAAAACCTGCTATTGGGCTGTTGTCTCCCAAAGGATGTAAAAGCTGATGAAAGACAACATATGAACAAATTATTCATTTGCTTTCCTTTTCCCAAAAGATTTTGTATCCTCATCATTGATAAAATAATTATTCATTGATCATTCTAGTTTGTCATATATACATTTAAAGAAACAAGTACACAGATTATAGAACAAGAGAGATGGTAAGTTTTGAGCTCAGTGAAAAATAGAGAAAGAGGTTTTTCATCTTGTCACAAGCATAGGAAAAAGTACAAATTCTGAGTCTTCGTGAGGAATTGAACCTTAGACCTTCAGACCCCTCTGATGCTTCACAACTGAGCCACAGACTCCATTAGTGAGGCCCAGTACAAAGTTCATGTATGACATGCACCCTGCATACAGCTAGGATCAGCAATGTCAATAGCATCATGTTTTTGTAAACAGAATCAGAAAGATGATAGGTTTTGAGCTCAGTAAGGAAATGGACAAAGATGTATTTCGTCTTGTCATTAATGTGGGACAAAGAAAATTTGGGAGATAAAGGCTGGAAAGGGTACTCATTGGCAAAGACGAAAAAACCTTTCACAAGACTTACTTCAAGTTTAGTGTTCCCCAAGTTAACAAAGACAGTGGATACTCCATGTTCTGGAAGATCCTAAGTAAGGAAAAAGGGATTGATCAAATATTTCATAATAATATAAATTACGAACAGAGAAGACTCCAAGTGTTGTGTAATATATTAATAAGTGGTGTGTGGAATAACAGCTCTCAATGCAGCATCGATTTCTCCCTGTGTTTTGGAAGTGAATTAGAGAGAGTTTGAAAGGAGAATCTAACATTCTATCAGATGTCACTTAGGACCTTTGGTTCCATATACCCTTTGATTAACTTCAGCTTCATTCAACTTGACTCACTTGCACATCACTAACATCAGCACCTAATACATTCCTATACATCTTGCTCGCTTGTTCTACAATAAAAACAAAAAACAGATATAACTCATTTTCTAAATATAATAGCAGATGGTGGCTTAATGCTTAGTGTGCTAGACAGTAAAATGAGAAATTTAGCTTCAAGATCTGGCTAGGTCAATATTTTGTCTTCTTGATTGACACACCTCTCTCTCACAGTGTCTCTCTCCATCCATGAATTGTCTGAGTGGGATAGCCTAATAGGAGGTTGGTGCAAATAAATTCATAACAAACCTTTATCAGGTTGAATTTATAAATAATTCAACAAAGTTCCCATACCTAAATTTGACAATTAAAGTTGCCAGGTGGATTGTCAACATGACAATAGTCATTTTGATGACTCCAACTGTTCATAAGCATTAATTTACCTAGATCAGGAACAGCAATTGCAACATGGTTGAGCTTGCCAAGCTTCCACAATTTTTCTTCCATTCCCTTCCAATACAACCAAAACATGAAGTTATGAGCAAAAATGAAAGATGTGTTTTTAGTAAGTATCAAATGTTGCGCAAAACTGCATTTAAAATGCAACGTCTTTATTTTAATTGCACATAAAAAATTCTATAAAATATTAAAAGCAACCTTGCTGTCGTTAATTGGCTTAAAGGTCTATCTGGATGTACCAGAGTAGATGTCACAGATATCAGTTACTGAGGATTTGCCCAATCTCCACCCCTCCCTGACCCCCTGCCCCGCCCCTTAACGGGCCAACTTGTACTCGTTAACCGTTACCAAGATATGTACATGCACTTTTACATAAGTGGAAAATGTGCGCTAACAGAAGGCAATGTTGTCGATGAGACAGATACTCGCGTCATAACTTCACAGAATCTTTTAATGTCCATCAATGAATAAGAATTGCACAAAAAATATAGGTAAATAACCTTCTGGTCTCATCATTTTATCGAATGGGATCCCTACCTGACAGAGTATTGCAGAGGTAGATATTCCATTCTTAATCTACGATAAAAGAAACGATTACACTTGTCAATACAAAATAGTGTTAATATTTCATTTCATAAAAGCTTCTTACCGGAAAATTGCTGAAATTTCCCCAAGAAAACGGCAAAACCGCGGCTCGTAAAATTCTTGAAGTGCACAGTCTAAACGCCATGTTGATTTGACCGGCGGGGATTTTGGAGTCTGGTGACAACAGTGAATCGTGCGGACGTGCATGTAAACTTATGCAACTGTCACGTTAAGACCAGCAACCAGTTTCTCCTTACAGTCATCATGAAGATCATGAGAATAAATAAAATGATCACCAACCTAAGAAACACTGATTGTTCGATGTTGAAATTCTCTTGGTTCCAATCAAACTCAAGCGCAAAAGGCATTTGACTCTTACGTGTAGGGTACAAAATAAATGAGTATCTTGAAGATGTCCTATGAAGACTGGTATCCGCGTAATTACCCTGCGACACTTTCCAATTTTCTCAGTTCAAACATAGTCATTATATTTTTTATCCCTAAAACACCGCCCCTCCCTCCCCCCCCCCCCATTACTTTAAAAAAGCCCATTGCAGACGACTTATTCTAGCAGGATAATTGATATTGAAGTTTGTACTTCTCTAATTTTTACCCGACCCTTTGTGGAGAATTATTCCTCATTTGTCATTGACAGGCAAAAAAATGTATTTTCCGTGTTAAAACAATTTGATGGCTCGGTTTTCAGAGGCGACCACCTAACATATAAGGCGTAAATAATAAGGATATCCCAACAATGAGTTAAGGTGCGGAAAACTTCCAAGTCATCTTCGTGATATTTTCATTCTTCTTTTCTTTCCTTTTGAATTCCATTCAGTCTATGATTAATTTTAATCAATGAGCCAAACCCAAACATCTCAATTCCGCTGTTTTCATGATTCTTGGCCTCTTTGGCCGTTTCCCAATCTACCCATTGAGGACTAAGGATCAGACAGAAAATGACAAATATATCAAAGATCGACACACTGTGCTCTACTGTTTATTAACAGATATCTGGTCTAGTGAACCACAAACTGGTGGCGCTAGTATTGTCCGCCGTTCCCTTAAGATGCTGGTATTTTTCTTGGCCATTCCGGAGCTTTTATCAAACAGAAGTTTCCAAGAGACCCTCGTCTTTTCTTCTTTCCTTAACGTCAACTATTTCAATTTTCACAAGTTTCACTCTATAGTTACGCTCTCTCCAATCTTGCCAGCATCTGTGATGGAACCTCAGCGTTACAATTAACCAAAATCCATAGATGCACCAAAGAAACAGACTGAGCACGATCAAACCCGCACCAGTCCACGTGTCGGTCAGTGCCATGTAGTGCCATGCCCCTTGCGCACAGAGATATGAGCTGGCAAACACCAGAGGGCTGAGGATTAGAAAGCAAATCAGGTCTCCGCAGAGATAACGGCGCTCGCGGCGGCTTTGGCCTTTCGTGAACCACTGGAAAGAAAAATAGAAAGGAAAATGGGCTAACAAGTTCAAAAAGGAATTCAGACAGACCAGCGTTTCCCCTGAGCGGTCCCATAAGTGCTTGCGCGGCGACTTTCATCCCAGTCAACACTCTTCTTTTTAATTTACCATCGAATAATTTGATATAATATTCTGCATACTTCCACAGGAAAACTGTACGTAAGTAAATAGTGATAAACTAACTCTCTTTATGGGTAAAAAATTTGTACCACGTTCTAGCCCTTGGACTAGTAGCTATCCCAGAGTATTAGCATTTGAGAACCTCAGAGGCATTTTAAGAGCGAAGATGAACCTTTCCTGAGAACATAACACAAAAAACCTGGTTAGGACTAGAACCCAAACCTTTTGATCGGGAGCAGCGCGCCTATAATGAAGAAACCGCATCAGCCACGCGCTTGTGGTAAACGAAAAAAAATATCCTTTAACAACGAAGAGGCTAGAGCTCAACGCCTGTCATCTGAGTTGTAATAAAAATATTTTAATTGAATAAAACATCTGGCTGCAAATAAAGTCTCTAGATATCATCAGCGATGATTTCAGTTTGAAATACTACATTCAATAAACTCTAAAATTAAAAACCAATTTACACTGGCTACGCCTAAACTTGTGACATGATTTCTGTCAAGAGGATAAAACGAACCTCCTGAAATGACCTCGGGAGTTTCCTAACGTGGAACTCATGGCCACAAATTTCACAGGAGTCTTTGTTGGCCTTTGAAAGCCATTCCTCCAGGCACTGAACATGACACTTCCCTAAGGTTCCTGAGCAGAGACAAGGACTGACGAGTAATCCACGAACAGTTTCATCTCTGCAAATACGACAAGTGTTCAACAAATCGTCTGACGAGTGAGATAGTAGTTCCAAATGAAAATTCTGTTCAAAGAGACAAAAAAAGTTGGAAGTTAAAGAAAAACACCTGCAAAAAAAATCGTTTAGTCTTTAGTCGTTAGCGTCTGATTTTGCATGTTCAGGAAATTTATTTACTAAAAATAATTCTTTTTTTAGATCCAATAAAAAGCTACTTGATTTCAGATCGTTTTTGAAATGCCAGTCAGCCAACCTGGAGCTCAATTTAGTTTCTTTTGGTGTTAATAAATTTTTACTTTGTCAATTTCCATTTCTTTCAGAACTATTCCTTGTAATATGAAGCTATCAAAAGAAAATCTGTGCGTCAGACGAAAAGCAGACAAAAATGTTTTTGAAAACAGGTTGAAATTTGATGTAACTATATACTTACATTTGATTGGTCCGAGTCAGCCGGGGATACTCTTCGATCTGCTATAGGAATGATATGTTGTTTTTCTGATCTCGAATCGCTTTCCATCGTGGCCAGAAAATTCTCTTGCAGCGATACTCCAGGTTAAATTTATGTGCTTTGTGTTTTTGCAAAAGCGGTTAAGGCTCCCGTCATATCAAGCTTAAATTTGCTGCTTTAGATGCTAATTAAGATTATGACGTATACGTCATTCTTTCTGTCGCACTTAATTCGATCATTCCGTTATTCAATGTTGTTCAACTTTTCTCCCGATGCAAGCTTTAAAATAAAAAATCAATGGCTAAATAGTCGAGAGGGACAGTTTGAATTTTGTCCATCTCAATCAAAAAAAAAACTACATCCGTTTTTAAATTTGTCTCTGAACTCTGACGTCACATAACTTCGACAAGCCGTCAGTCTGGAAAAATTCTCACTGAAAATAATAGTATGTGGGAGTACGACAGGTTGATGTTGGTATTGCGACATTTATCTAGACAACAATAAATCCTAAATTTTATCCGGATCAACGCATTGTCTATAAAAATGAATGAAGGGAAGTAAGTTTTTAGAGGAACTGTGTTTCAACGTCGGTGGAAAAATTCATTTGGCTTTATCTACCGAGTTTATAATATAAAATTAGCCACTGAAATGAGTTTCCAAAGGGCCAACACTCGGAACGTTAGTTTTAGAATTCTTTATGGTGGCCAAACTCGCCTCAGTTGTTAAAATCCAATCAATTCATCTTGTCTTTAAAAAGATCGAGGAAAGATTTACGTGTAACCTCATACAATTCGAAAAGAAAGCCGTTGCCCCTAAGGTAATCTTTTTTTTGCCATTGTTTCCTTCATCCAAGAACTGTATGCATAATAAAGTATGGGGTTATGCTGAAATCTCGACAAAAACTCTGGATTAGGAGAATAAAACTGAAAACAAATTTAGCCCACAAAAATAAGAACTCGTTCAACTCTCAAAATAAAAACAAAAATTTATTCTACAGAACACTCGGCGCCTGTACAGCTCAAAATAATACAGTTGATATTTGTCTGAAAAGTTAAAAATACAAAAATAAACATAATTACTATTGTAGCGCTTTTAAACAGACTGACGGCTGCTGGCGCGAGTCGGACATAAAATTCAAAAAGCCGTTCACATGGTCTTCACAATTTAACAAGAATTTGAGGAATGCACGAGTAAAGGATTTGGAAATTGAAGAGACCAAATTATGTACAGCTATTTACAGTTAAATTATTGTTTTTGGAAATAAACTTACTCTTAATCTTCCTTGCATATTTGTTTTTTGCTTTTGGGTTTCGCTTTCGTGGTGTTCTTAGACTTCAGAACTTTTGTTTTGTCCTTTCCTTTTTCGCTGGTTTTTTTGCCCGTGGAAGATGTCTTACTCGCACTTGGCTTTGCTGCAGGTTTCTTGGTCTTCTTTGCTTTCATAATTCCTTCACTGCTTTCTGCGACCGCAGACTTTTTGGCTTTAGGCTTCGACTTCTTTTCCACTGCAGTGTCCTTAGAACCCTCACGTTTCTTTTTACTTGTACTTTCCTTGGTTTTATTTGAGGACTTTTTCTTTGGTCGCCCTTTCTCTTCGTTCTCTTTGTCTTCGCCGTCAACATCCTTCGGTTGTTTCTTACTGGTTTTCTTAACTTTACTCGCCTTCTTCTTGTTGTTGTTGTCAATATCCCGTTCAGCGTTCTCCTTCTCTTTCAAAGCTTTCTTTTCCTTCTTTAGTCGTCTCTTCTCTTCTCTCTTCTCCTCTTCTTTCACTTCCTTTGAAAGTTTAAACGAGCCCGAAGCTCCAGCTCCCTTCGTTTGCACGAGGCGTCCTTTACCGACACTTTTGACCAGCGCAAGTTTAATCTGATTGTTAGCGGTCTCACCGACCAGATACTTTCCTTTGATGTACTTGGTTATGGCTTGTCGAGAAGAGCCTCCCTTCTCGTTGAAATATTTGACTGCTTCTTCCACCATTTCAGTATACTTTGGGTGTTTAGGTTTAGCGATGACAACCTGGGGAATAGAGTCTTCTTCAGACATGGTGAGACTTCAGTTCTGGAAAAACTACAGGCAGTTTTAGCTTCAAAAAGCAGGGCTCAAAAGAAGTAAAAAGACCTGCGAAATTGGGGATTATATAACCCGGCCTGTACCAAACACGTGCGTGGGAATGTTTCAAATCATGACAGAATTGATTAAAATTTCCTCCTCAGAGACGTATTCTTTTTTGTTTGAACAGGCTGAATGAGGTTCATTTACACATTCTATAGCGTTGTTGCGTTTTGATATTAGACCCTGAAATTGCTAATTGCTCATCTTCATTATTCAGAATAAAGGCGATGAAACTTAAGATAATAGATGTGATCTAATATTTCAATCGTTTATTCATAAGTTTTTGGTTCCTTTGAAGTCCTGAATGGACATCATCTCTATTGTTCGGCGTCTTCCATTTTATGAAATGCCTTTCTTGAGAAAGTTTGAGAAGGGGAGAGGGGGGGGGGGGGGTGAGGTGAGACGAAATTCGCAAAAATTAGCGGGAAATTTGCATAAGTGTTGGAATACTTGACCATGAGAGGTTTGATATGAGACTCTTTCCTCGCATACGCTCACAAGGTTCAACAGTTGCGTCACAAAAAAAGGGAACGAACATTAGGGTGGGTAATATTTGGTACCTGGATAGGGCAAAGAGCTTTGAGGTCGACGGTGACATTAAAATGACATTATACGTGGTACCTGCATAGAGCAAAGAGCTTTGAAGTCGACGGTTACATTAGAATGACATTCAGTAGGTAGAGGAGGATAAGGTACAGGACTGTGAAATCACGTACAGTCGGTGCGTCCGATTGAAAGATTTCAGGGGAAAGTTCGCAAACTGGGATACCGCCTTCATTTTCGAACAAATACTAGTGGACGTGAAAAATTTTGGGCTGGAATCAAATGAGTAAAAGGAGAGCATGCCTTGACTTGTCCGTCTGTATCTCTATTCAGTTTCAAAGAAAGACACAAATACAATTAATGCTTTATTCTACACTCAAAGAAACAAGAATTGTTGAATAAAAGATTTGTAAATTTTCATGTATGGAAATTACGAAAATGTTTGAGTCAGGGGTCAACGAGAGAAAAGAGATTGTCTTTGTATTGTGCCCCTTCTTTTTCGATAAAAAATAAATTCGAGTATGCCCTCAAACTGCAAATCAAAGTTCTTTGATTTTTATTTGCTTAAGGGTGGGTAATGTTACCGAGGAAAAAAAGGTATACCAGCGGGCCATGAATTCAGTCATTCTTAATTAAGTGGGCGAGGCAGCGACGGAAACGCTTTGTCGAACGGTGGAGGTTTTTCCGCTCTATACCCTTTTGGACCTCTTTACCATTTGTGGAGCTGAAAAAGCAATCAAAGATGCTTTGTTAAGACGCGTGCTTCGATAAGTTCCTTATGCTCAGTCAATTTGTATTGATCGAGTTTTCATTGAGGCCGCCGCGTGGAAAGCCGGGATTTTTGTTCCCGCCCACCCCTCCTTTTTGAGCTGACCTCCCATCCTCTTCCGCCTTGCACCAGGGGTTAACATATCCCAGACCAAAGCGATACCTCACATCTCATAATAACAATACCCAGGAAGGAATATTATATTATGCTAACCCTTGCTAGCCCATAATAAAACTTGACCGAGAGAGGAGACAGCAAGGAAAGAATCTGGGAACAAGGATTGCGACGCTCAAAATTCGCCATCTTGCTTCTTCTTTGAAATGACTGTAAGTAATCAGTGGGATGTGGATCATCATACCTAATAACTGACCAAATGAGGAGTGAGATATAAAAAAGATCCGTGAATACTCGGGGTAGAGGAGATGAACGAAGATACGACGGACGAGCTGGCCCCAAGAGCGGAGATCTTCAGATCAAAACTCATCGAGGATTTTCAGCTTATCGACAGGGTTGCCAATAGTAGCGGCACAGAACCACCAAAATACTATTCCAACGAAGTAACAGGTATCTGTTTTTTCACGATATTCTGTGAAATATTTCATGTATGCTGTTTAGCAACCAATCATTTCTGGTCAAATATTTCGAGGAAACTCTTCGCCTCTAAATATCACTGGGTATGACGTTGGCAAAGCTAGGAGGCAACAAGTCTTTAAAAATTCTTCTCCCACGTTTCCAGGCTCTATATTCAGTTTTTGAGATCGTAGATTTTTTTTAATATGTTGCCCGTAAATTTTGTTTCAGACGACGAAGTTATGAAGCAACTTTTAAGAGAGACTCCCCAAGGCTTGATCAAGTTTCAAATCTACTCTAAGAAAGATGAACAGCGCTTTGCAGATCGTCGCTTGAACAGAGTAAAGAACAAAAATGCTATTCCACTTGGACCATGGGCACACACTGTCATAGAAGGTTTGTTTAATGAATGATGATGGCTTATCGTTTTTTACTCAAATGATCATGGTGCGTTCCAGTTCCATCATTAATTACCCTTTATTAGAACAGAAAGGTGCATTGATCAAGTTTGTGTAAAGTGGCTGTTAACAATGTGATGTGATTTAATCTATCAACAGATCCAAGGATTCAAAACTTTATGATGATTTTGATCATAACAAATTCTATTGTATTGGGAATCCAAGCCGGTGAGCAAAAAATGCTAGTATCCCAAATGTGCTATCATCTTACTTGTTAATGTAACCCTTGAATTAAAAATTGGCACTGTATGCTATCATTTTTCAGAAATATCCAAAATTGAGGATTCCTCACTGTATGGATTAAAATTGGTTTTACAAATTTTTGATTACTGCACATTGACCATTTTTGTACTTGAGATAATCCTCAAGTGGATTGATGGATTCTGGAGTTTTTGGAAAAATGGTTGGAACATTTTTGACTTCATTGTGACCGTAATGGTATGTATGAGCACCAATTGTAACATTTCAGTAATAGTTATTAACCTTCAATTAAAACGAATGAATGAGAGTGATCTTCACAGTATCCCATTATACCTTAAAATCAGTTTTCATATTTTGTGCAGTTCTCTATACATTTTCTAAGGTGTTCACAATGATAATTTTTTCAACACTCAAGAGCTTCTTGAGTAGGTGATCATTTCATTTATTCTCCAACTTTAATGTCTGATTTAGGGGTGATATTGTAAGGAGAAATTAGATGCTAGTCAGTCTTAAGGGTCAAAGGGTCAAAGGGTCAAAGGGTTAATATAGCATAAACTAATATGCTGACATAGATGATTATCTTCAGTACTTCAGTCCTGCTCTTTCACACTACTATTTGTGCATCAAGTAGAAAAATATCTTTCATTTCAATCCTTTCAACGATTTTAGTCATTTGTGCCAGAAATCATTGAGCTGTCATCAGGAAAAAATACAGCAGAAGTGGCTGTCATTGCTGAAAACTTGAGAGTATTCCGAATTTTGCGATCCTTGAAAATGGTGAGAATACTTACTACAGTTATGGTTGTTCATTGGTGAATTATTTCATAATTATGAATATGGTAAAAATTATAGAAAACAGTACCTAAAAATAGCAAAGGTGGTAAATTTTTTCATTGAAATATGATTTGGAAGTGTAAGAATACAGTAATTAAATAACTATTTGTATAGAGTAAATGTAACATTTGTTATCAATCATTTCAGGTATCAAGGTTTGCCCAGCTAAGGATCATTGTCCTTACCATTCTCAAAGCATTTAAGGTATTGAAAGCGAAACAACTTACAAATAAAACATGGATTTGAGGGAAGATATCTTTATAAAACAGCCCAATTTAAATTAACTATACTTTCATTAGCCAATGTCCTCAGCCTTAGTAAATTCTTCACCTTCACCAATTACCTTTTATCTTTTTTCTAGTCAATGGCATTCATCCTCATTTTGTTGATGACTTTTATGTACATTTTTGCTGTGGCTGGAACAGTCATGTTTGCTTCATACTCCAAGTCAGAAAGAACAGACCTCAAGTATAAACAGAGTTTTAGGTAAATCTTCTGTCAAAACATTGCATACTTTGGTACTATATTTTGTTGGTGATGCCCCTAATTCTAAGGTATCACAATAGTAAATGTACACACCTGTATGTCCACAACTTACAGATTGCCTGACTCCCCTTCTGCTTCTTAATCTCTCTATTTCTATGTACATTAGTGGTTTAGTATTGTCTTACCAGTAGTTAATCAGCATAACACATCTATTGCAGCACCCTTGGTAATGCTTTGGTCACATTGTTTCAACTCTTCACCTTGGATCACTGGTATGACATCCTCAGAGATCTTATCAAAGTGGTAGACCCCATCACAGTCGAGATCTACATCATCTTATGGATCTGTATTGGAGCTTTCATATTCAGAAATATCTTTGCTGGCATTATGGGTATTCATGCTATGAGTTTCTTTAATTATAATGAGAGTAACCTGAAGCTGACTTCCTCGTCTTCAAAGTTTAGAGGGCAAAATTGACCTTCACCTGATATTGGGATATTTGAACAAGGATGGGGCTATGGCTATAGGCATCTTATAGTCATGCCACCCCCCACCCTTTTTTTTTTGTGATAAAACTGATTACTATTCTTGAATATGCAACCTCTTAGTATATCTCTCAGTCAGCATATGCGCTATGAATGGTCAATTAAGCAAGCTGTATTTTGTTGTATCACCCACTAAATACAAAAGTTTGTTTGAATCGAAATTTTCCTCCTCTTTTTGAATTTTAAGATGTGATCAATATCTTACTAACCAGGTTTTCTCAATCCAAACTGTAAATTAAAGAACCTTGTTTTTTTCACTTGGATTTATGATCCATGTGCTTTCCACTTGAGCCATGAAAATGGGCAGGAAAAAATTGGTCTGTAACTTACAGTGAGGACCTGACTAAACTTGGTTAGTTAAGGGTATATACACATAGTTTTATGATTATCAAATATTCATGACATCATCTTAGAATAAAACAAAATTCAGCAAGAAACAGGAGAATATTGAATTTGGGTTAGACTGACATGGAAGGATTTTAGTAGTCTCAAGGCCATTGTAAAGCTACTTGATACTTGTTGCAGTCATGAACTTCCAGAGCATTCGAAGGGATTTTAATCAACAAGTGAAAGAGCAGACTGAAGCCATAGAAGCAGAACAAATGAGAAATCACTTAGCAGAGGAGCTGGAAAGAAAGGACAGATTGCAAAGTAGAACAAGGTATCAATTACTGAGACACCTGGTACAACAACGGACTCCAATTGAACTTTGGTGTTAAAGAATTTAGTAAAACTGCAAAAAAATTTTTTCATCTATCTAGGCGAACCAGCAGTTTGGGTGCTTCCCTGTTCCAGGAACTAGGAAAACAGCTTGAACCTATGTCAACACTAGCAGAGACTGAAGAGGAAGAAGAAGGAAGCTTTGAGCACAGAGATGACAGTGGAATTAAAGACTCCTCCTCTCTGCCTCAGGAAGGAGAAAATAAACCAAAACCAGAAACAAATGAACCTGACCCTTTAGCAACATTGGGAGACAAACTTGCTCAAATAAGGTAGCATAGTCTTCTTGCTCATGATCTTATATCAAGAGTAAGTTTCTTTGTGGAAGCAACCTGATCAGGTTTTAGGTTATGGAAAATGTCTAAGAAAGTAATGTATAATCACCACAAATACTGGTGGTGATTAATTTTATTTGAGGATTTTTTCAAAATTCAAAGTCTCAAAATTAAAGTCACTTTAACTCTAAAATACAGAGAATCAGATACAATTAAGAGTTAAATTTTCATCTATTTCCCAACCATTAAAATGAAAGTACTCTTTCAACTGACCAAATCCAGCTGATTGGTGATCCATGCATAAGAGATGGTTGTTGTTGTTTTAAGGGAGAAGAGGAACAGCTGGAGCAAACAGAGTGGAGTTGACCAGCAGCCAATACCAGAATTACATGGAGAGTTTGCTCATGACAAAGCTAAAGACATGACAAATGGTAAGTTTTCTTTCTTCTTACAGTGTATGTGGAAATCTAGGTTGACATTTTGTACCTTACACTGATGATGGTTTTACCCTCCCCTCCCCCCCACACACCCTCCTCATTTCTGTGGTGTTTGGAACTTTCCTTTTTGACAAAATTTTATGTTAAATTTTCTAGACTGGATCACAACAGTTCAAGCAAATCTGACTGATCTTAAGAACCACCCTGTGGAGACGCTGTGGCAGAGAGACACGCTGTTCAGGTAGGAAAAATAGTAAATAAACAAGGAGCCTCAAAATAGAATGCTTCAAACAATTGGATTAAAATTGTGTTTGAAAAAGAAAACTCTCTTATTTTTTAAATTAATTTTGAATATGTGCTGTAGATATTTCCAGTTAATGGAAGCCTGGCAAGAAAACCTTGCTGAACGACAGCAGCTCATTCGTATGGCTGGTGAGTGAAAGGTTACTTGTCAATCACTGACATTTCTAACTTTACTAAAACTGTTGGCAAAACTGAAAAATCTCAGTGCTGGTCTTGTAATCATGAGAAATATGATTTGTTTCCTGTTTTCTACACAGACCTATGCTAAAGCACTTAAATAATTGATTTTTTTTTATTTTTTTATTACAGGCCAAGCTTTGCTTAAGCTCCATGATACTTGATCACAAATGAAGCCTTTAAAAATGAACTTGATTAAATCAGGACTGCTTCTTCTGACAAGGACTGTTTAAATTTAAACACTCAGGGTATTAGTTAAACTACATTGTCTTGTCTTTGAGAAATGTGTACATTGTGCTGGTTGTAAACAGTTCTGTAAGAAGTCATGATCCCCAAGTGTGGGACATTATCAAGCTGCAAGTTCTTCATGAGCAGCTTTGTGTTCTACTCTAATTTATGGTTATTTTCAAGATTCCAAGTTCTAATTGGAAGAATGTTGGCTTTTAAATTATTTTTACTTCTTAAAAAAGATTCATCCTGTGCAGTTTTATGAAATTAATTTATTAGATGATGTTGGCAAGGTTAATGTAAAACAATAGTGGAATATTGTACCTTTGTTTTTAGAGTTGCTTGTACTGATAAGTGTCCTTCATTCAGAATTCATTTAATTATTATTTTAATTTAAGGCATAAGTATTCAAATAAAGCAGCCAAATTCAGAAAAAGTAACTGAACTTTATTTTACTTGGTTCTAATCTTTGTAAATAATCAAACTAACATTCAGTGGCAAGCTAAAATTCAGCGATTCTTCTTGGTCTTTAGCTGTTGTGGAGGGACAGGGTTTGATGTTGGGGCATGTGTGGAAGCAGCAATCTTGTTAATGTAGTATATGGCTACCATTGAAAACAGAAAGCTGAAGAGTAAAAAAAAGAGTATTGAATGGTTCAATATAGTTTGAATTTAGTTTTGGGTTCTTCAGATTTTAATATGAACAATATGATGGATTAAGTGGCCAAGGCCAGTGCTGTGAACTCTGAATTAAGGGGTGTAAATTTGATCCCAGACTGGGTTATCATTGCCTTATGATAACAACTAGTGGCTTAATACAACAACAAAAGTGAATAAATGTACAACCAACAGCACTGTTAGAATGGTAAAAAAAATTGTCATCAACTTACCAGGTTGTTACACAAACTCTGTGGACTAGGCCAGAGGCAAACATTGCAACTACCAGACAAAGTATAACTTGAAGAAAATGAAATAAATGCAATATATTAAAAAGACATGCATGGATACTCAGTTGATGATAGGTAAATAAGAAATTGGATGATAAAAAACTGGATTGGACACTAGCACATCCTTAATACTGTTCATTGTCCTTTGTTTCCAAGTTGTACCAGCCATTAGTGTGTTAATTTTATAAAGGGAGCAAAATAGAGGATCCAATAAAAAGAAAGAAAACTAAAAAGACCACATAAGTCTAAGTTTAAGATACCAGGTATGAACTACTTTGGTGAAAGGTGAGGATTGTCACTACCTGGAGCCCACACTTTGATGTTTTCTAGTGGTTAGTATGGTTAATGCAAGGCTGCATCTGTAGTGATAATTACTCACAAGAGCCAAAGCAGGGCTGTTATTAGAAGCTGGTGGAAAGCCACTGGCTGTCAGATCATGTTGTGCTAGCTTCTTTTTGAGTTGTGTTCAGAGACAATAAATAATTAGTGGTTCAAGAAATGTCTCATTTCTTTAAACCAATATAAACAACAATTGGATCCTTATCAACAAAATTCAAAATATGTACCTTCTGGGAACAATTTTGTTTGAAAATTTCGACCAAACATGGTTGTTTCCAAATTTCCTACTGCCTGGTGAATTAAATGTCAAGGAATACGCAACTCGGATGTTAAGACTCACACCACTAGAAAATCACTTCAAATAAATTAGTTTCATAAACAAGATGCTTATTTCACTGGCTTCTAACAATAATCTAATCACGAAAAAATTACAAAACTTGACCCAGATATATAATCCCCATCAGATACCGTCTTTGATTACTACTTTTTTCATACGAGTCTCTGATAAGTACCATCAAGAGACATTTCAAGCGTTCAAAAAAAAACCCTGTAAAGGTTTACTACACTCAGATCAATGGAAGTCTTTGTTCTTGGTGAATCTGGATGCTTTCAACGTATATAATGTCAAAGAATCACGAAAATGAAATCTTTCCAGCCAAGCCTTAGATGAATATCCTAGAGCTCACATATGATCTTTCATAAATAGTAGAGGATACAGTTAGGAGGAAGACGAAGAACTGTGATCCTATGAATCCCCCCAATATGGTCATCCACTCGCTGGACGCCAAGTTTGCTTTGAACATTTGCATTCCAGCGAAAGTCAGCACGGTTAATGTTGTCGCAAATAGGAACGAGGTAGACGACGGAAGAGCTGTGATTCAAAACAACCGTATCACTGTTAATTCAAAGGAAAATTTCCAGATTTATAAGCGAATGTAGATATCATAGTAACACTCACCCATGTTGAAAGGGAAAAAGTGGACAACTCAGCTGTTCGCCCCAGTATTTCGCTGTCAAATATGCATACATTCCCGGATGACATGTAGGAACATGGCGGGTCATAGAAGGTCAAGTTAGCTAATATATTTTCCGCAAATTTCCAATGTTTGTAGCCTGTAGTGATGATGAATGAGTTAAATTTTAAGCCGAGAAGAATACCAAACCAGAATTTAGTGTGGAGGCTACGTCAGAGGGAGACTCATTTTCCAAAACCCGGAACTCATTGGCATCAAGCACGAGCTTTCACTCAAAACATTTTTCCAAATTTCACGATTGTGAATGTTGAAACACCTCCGTGCTATCTGCGAAAATTCTCACCAGATGGCCGTTATTTCGTTGCATTCTCATTAGATCAAAGCTCTGTTGAGGTGTACGAGTTCCAAGGGCCAAGTGCAGCTGAGGAATTGCTTGCGAAAGAATCGCCAGACATTGAGATAAGGAGCAGATTGTTCAGTAGCTTCTTCCGTCTCAGCTCCGTTGTAACCGTGGCACAAAATGGAGAGCATTTGAACAGAGAGTGTAGTTTATTTACTGACGATGGCCGTTATGTTATAGTTGGATCAGCTTCGTATGTCCCAGAGGAACCGCATCCATATTTCTTTGATATCTACAGTAACAATGAGTCGGTCTCTCCAAATCCCAGGTCACCTCTGGAAGACTACACAATCCACATCGTTGATATGAAAACTGGAATGCTGTCAGATTCCAGAGTGTTCAAGTGTGATAAGATATTCTTATCACACAATCAGGGACTGTACTTATACAGAGACCTTCTTGCAGTTTTATCTGTTCAACAGCAACAGATTCACATTTTTCAGGTTACATCCGATGGCAAGTTTATTGATGTGCGCACAATTGGTCGATTCTGTTATGAGGATGACGAGTTTATGCTGACTTGTGTCAGGAATGTTGATGCCAATGGCCAACCCATTGTGCGACCATACATGGAAACCTGTCTGAATGGACTGAAACATAGAATTCTGGCCCATCTGTGGAGATGTGCATATAACGAAGGCACTGCTTTAGCTATGGGGAGATTTTATCAGCATGTTGAACTGTTCAGAGCTCTGAGAATGTGGAAGATGCAACTTTTTGATAGTAGGATTTTGCTGATAAAGTATGCCAGTGAAGATGTAGTAACACTGAGGGTCCCAGATCCAAACTCACAGCCATCATTCTTTATCGTGTATGACATGGAAACAACCAAAGTCTTGGCTGTGTTTGAAAACACTTCAGAGAAATTGTTAGAACTTTTCGAACAGTTCTGTGACTCTTTTCGCAATGCTATGTTGCATTCACCAGCGCAATTCACTTGTTCAGCTTCAAGCAATATTTTTGCCCGCCAAATTCAAAGACGATTCAAGCACACCATTGTTAATGCAAAATATGGAGGGTATACTGAAGCTGTCAAGCGTCTTCTTGCTCAGTTGCCAATCAGCTCCCAATCTTACAGTAGCAGTCCTTATTTGGACTTGTCCCTGTTTAAATATGATGACAAGTGGGTTTCTGTCATGGAAAGGCCCAAAGCATGTGGAGATCATCCAATAAGGTACAAGGTTAGGTTTAGCTGACTTAAAAAGTACCACTAGAATCTTAAAACTGAAGAAAAATTTTAAACCCCAACATCCCCCACTGATATTTTTACACATTGCTCATTCTCAGGGCGTAAAAGAGGACAACTGAAATAGGGAATTAACCCTTTTCCCCCATAGGAGTGATTGACATCTTATTTCTCCTTACCTTATCACTGTTGCATCAACCATTAAGGTCATGAGAAGCTCTCAATATTATTGTGGAGCAAATTTTCAATGTAAGTACTACTAGAAATCTATTGAGAACAAGATGGAGAATATGCTAAGTGATCTTGGGGTGTAAAGGGCTAACAATGTCTTCATTAAATTTCAATGTACACAGCTTTGTAAAAAAATTGAACTTTTTTTCTGTTTATGATGAATTTGAACCTAGCAAAATTTGTGTTGCTGATGTTTCTTTCTTTTGCAGGTTTTATTCTAGGGATTCAGGGCTTCTGAAATTTAAGATCCACGCTGGTTTCTTGGGTCGCCCAATTCCACCAACAGGAAAGAGACTGGTGGCATTCACTTTTCACCCTCTCTACCCATTTGCTATCTCGGTACAGAAAACTAATGCAGAATATGTGGTGAACTTCCATATCCGACATCTTACTAGTGGTGTAGAACATACTTGAGTGTAATCTTAATCCAGGAACCCTTACTGTGATAAACTGTCGTTTAGATGAGGACTGGGTTAAGATCAGCTTGCAAAGCAAGGTTTGGAATCTGCTCTCGAGATGTTTTTTAATCAAAATAGAAAATGTAGGTATTTATGTTGAGGTTCAATATTCTTGTTAGTTGAAATTTTATTTTCATTGGTTTCTTCACATAACCAGAAACCAAGAGAAGATAGAATTGTACAGATATATTCAGATTGTTTTTGTTCACAATAGTTTGGAAAAAAATGTAATAAATAAACATGTGATGCAAAGAATTGACCTAAGTAACTGTTGTGTGGTTTGGTGTATTTTATTGATCTCACTGGGGAAACAATTGTTTAATATAAACCAGGCTCTCTTTTTTTTTTCCACTCTTTCTTTTGCAAATTTTTGTTGATGGTTTGTGGGTTCATTTAAAGTCA